CAAACAAAATAGCACAGCAGCATCTAAAAGAGAGAAGTAAAACAAAATTGGGGTGTTTTTGCTTCATCATTTTCCTCAAAAAACTTTTGTGAGAGCTTACTGTGGGCAAGGCATGGCTGACTGGGAGAAATAAACATAGTTCTTACCAGTTATCAAATGAAGAGAAATGCTTTCTTCCCATTTCAGAAAGAAACCAGGGTATATAGTCTGTCTGAAAAGGTCCATGACAGCACTACGCAGTGGAGTCTAAATTGTTTAGAAGCACATTAAAAAAAAGTAAAAAGGGCCCGAACCGGTTTGCTCAGTGGATAGAGTGTCGTTCTGCAGACGGAAAGATCCCAGGTTCGATTCCGATCAAGGGCATGTACATTGATTGCAGGCATATACCCGGTGGGGGGTGTGCAGGAGGCAGCTGGTCGATGTTTCTAGCTCTCTATCCCTCTTCCTAACTCTCTGTAAAAAATCAATACAATATATATATTTTTTAAATAAACAGGAACAGGTGGAATTGGTATTAATATTATCTTTAATAATATACTTAGTCAATATATCTGAAATATTATTTCAATATGCAATCAATATTAAAAATTAAGACATTCTACACCAATATTTTTCCCCATACTAAGTCTTTGAAATCTGATGTGTATTCTACACTTACATCAAATCTCAATTTGGACCAGTAATATTTTTATTTATTTATTTATTTATTTAATTTTTTTATAAAAATATATTTTATTGATTTTATACAGAGAGGAAGAGAGAGAGAGATAGAGAGTTAGAAACATCGATGAGAGAGAATCATCGATCAGCTGCCTCTTGCACACCCCATACTGGGGATGTGCCCACAACCAAGGTACATGCCCTTGACCGGAATCGAACCCGGGACCTTTCAGTCCCCAAGCTGACGCTCTATCCATTGAGCCAAACCGGTTTCAGCTGGACCAGTAATATTTTTAAGGGCTCTATGGTCACATGTATCTAGTGGCCACCATATTGGGCAGTGTAGATCAATAAGACCTTGGGAGAGAATTGCTAAAAAAAAAAAAAAAAAGTGTTGCTGAAATCAGTTTGGCTCAGTCAATAGAGCGTCGGCCTGCAGACTGAATGGTCCCAGGTTCAATTCCGATCAAGGGCATGTACCTTGGTTGAGGGCACATCCCCAGTAAGGGGTGTGCAGGAGGCAGCTGATCAATGTTTCTCTCTCATCGATGTTTCTAACTCTCTATCCCTCTCTCTTCCTCTCTGTAAAAAAAAAAATCAATAAAATATATTTTTAAAAAGTGTTAATAGATTTGAACATTTTTTCTATATTTCACGTGCTCTGAGGTTTTATAGCTGACAAAGGACTGGAAAGCCCTTTTGACATCAGCACCATCCAGATTTCCCTCCAGAAAAGGAGCAGACATTCCTCCCACAGTCAGGACTGTTAGAAGGCTGATGGCTCACAGCTGAGCCTTTCTGTGGGACCTGCCACTGGCCAGAGGAAGTCACGTGGCTAAGGGTAGGCCCCACACCCAATGACCAAGTGTGGCCTCCAGGTTGCCTCAATTAGGACCATTCTGCAAGGCCACCCCACTCCAGTGCTCCCCTGGAGGAACAGCTGAGATCTCTATTGCAGCTGCATCCCAGCCCAGTTTCTCCCTCTGCCTGATCCCACTGCCCTTGCTTTCTTGAGAGTACACTCTGGTAAACCTCCTTCAGGCAGGTCCCTATCTCGGAATCTGTTTCCCAGGGAACCTACCTTAGACTTCTGTCCCCAGCGTTATGTTGTCTCAAGGGAAAACATATAATCACTGCAAATTTCCTCTAGAAAGTCCTTTTAGGGATCATAGCTCCTTCTCCAATTAATATACAAGAATAGCAAAAAATCTGTCACTCAATATACAAATGAGATAAGACTGGTTATCACTATGGGCCCATTATGTTGGCCCTGCTTCCCTCAGCCCAGCCTGCACCCTTTTACAATCCGGGACCCCTGCAGGGATTAAGATCAGGCCTAAACTGGCAGTCGGACATCCCTCTCACAATCCGGGACAGCTGGCTCCTAATCGCTCTCCTGCCTGCCTGATTAATCACCCCTAACCACTCATCTGTCTGATCACCCCTAACCACCTCTGCCTTGGCCCCTGCCACGGTGGCTTTGTCCGAAAAAACATCTGAAATGATATCCAGAAGCTGGTTCGGCTGTCCAATCTAATGAGCATATTACACTTTTATTATACCGTTTCCCCGAAAATAAGACAGTGTCTTATATTAATTTTTGCTCCCAAAGATGCGCTAGGTCTTATTTCCAGAGGATGTCTTATTTTTCTATGAAGAAGAATACGGTACACATTTATTGTTAAATGAAAATAAAGGAAATTTATTACCTGTATACGGTACAGTAGTACGGTAGTTGTCAACACAAACCAGACAAACTGTGACTCCTACAGTATCAAGAATTTACTCATTTATTCAATGACAATCATGTCATCATCTTCTGGAACATCATCATAACAATCCAATTCCTGAATTTCCTGGTGAATTTCTTGTGAGTCCATTTCTTTTAGAATCAGTGGACCAAATCTCTCATGTTGAGCCTAGGGGGGGCCTTATATTCGGGGGGATGCCTTATATTTCACTCAGAAGGAAACCTGTAAGTAGGTCTTATTTTCAGAGGATATCGTATTTTCGGGGAAACACGGTAGTTATAAGAGCTTGCTTCAGTTCTGCCCTCGCCACTGTGTGAGGATATGAAAAACAGCTCTCTGCAACCCAGGAGAGGGCTCTCACCAGAACCCAACCCTACTCGTACTCTAATCACAGACTTCCAGGCTCCAGAACTGTCAGAAATAAGTTTCTGTTGTTTATAAGCCCAGTATGTGATATCCTGCTTTAGCAGTCTGAACTAAGGGTATATGAGAAATTCTTATTTTATCTTGCAAGTGGTGGGAAATCATTTCAGCTTCTTGAGGAAAAGCCTGACACAAAGAAACAGAAAGGCTTATAGGAGAAAATAACAAAAAAAAATATATATATATATACACAAAATAATGACAGTAGTGATAATCATTTACTGAATGATAGTAGGCAGCGTCCTAGTACATAGGACACTTAGCTCACGGGATCCTCACCACAGCCAAACAGACTTGTAATATTATCCCCATTCCACAGTGAAACCGTTCAGAGGCTCAATTACTTGCCTCGGGTCCCATAGCTGGTAAACAGTGGAGCATACCCTAAGCCTGTGCTCCTTTCACTATATATGAGGCTTTTAATTCGGGTTCAAAGAAGCGGAACCCAAAAATGGAAAAAAATAAGTACTACAAAAATATTGTTCAGATTTACAGAGGAACCAAAGGGTCTGCCCTGGGGCCCTGTGTCATAGGGACAGTGTGAGGGGGAAGAGGCCATTTGAAGAAAAGAAAGACAAAGGTTGGACTGAAGAATCCGAGGTAAAGATTGAGGTGGACAACAGGTTACCTCCCAACAGCCTTCCCCGTTTCCATCCAAGCATCCACTCCTTCCCTGCAGCCAGGGGCTCGAGCAGGGCCTGGTTCCATTCTTTGCCAGTCACTGCCTTAGGGATGAGCAGGCAACCCAATTAGGGCCCAGAAAACTAGACGGGGGCTTTTTCTAAGAGGGCTTCTTCAAGGAACCCTCTGTTTTCCTGATGCAGATGGGGAAGCATACAGCCCTTGGAGTTGTTGCCAGCAGTTTCAGGATTAAGAGCGCAGCCAGCCTTGGTATGATGCCAACACGGCAAGAGGCAGAGAGGGGAGAGATGGAGAAACTGAGCCCTGGATGATTCTATTAACCTGCTGAATCGAACCAACTCTGAAGCCCACCACACCTCTGATTTTTCAGTTGTGTGAGCTAATGAGGCCTTGGTTGTTCGAGACACTCCACAATGGGCAACGGGAAGGCTTTAAAGGGGTCTGTCTAAGGCTTTTCCTCCAAGTCACTGCCACACACTTTCATGGAGAACAAAGAGAAATGTAAAAAACCTAGATCCAGGAAAATGTTGATGCCACACTAGTGAGCTCTCACTGGAAACAGCCAAGTGAACAGGATGGGGAGTAGGCAGAGAGAACCAGTTTCTCCGCGCCCCACCCCCCACCCCCCAGGTCATCCCCAGGGCTGTATGTCCACAAGCACCACATAGTTTCCCAGGTCTCTGATGCTCACATACCAAAAAATGCAGACCAGAGCTAACGCTCTAAAGGAAGCAGAACCAGTGGGTTTTATATGTGAAGAAGATTCTTCTCTTCTCATGCTAACTCCTCAAAAGGCCTTTGGTTCTCCCCTACATAAGTATCTAACATACAAAATCAAGTACAGTAAGTGTTCACTTAACATTGTCAAAAGGTTCTTGGAAGCTGCAACTTCAAGCAAAACAAGGCATAACAGAACCAAATATCCTAAGCTAATTGATAAACAACAGTTAAGTTCCTACAACATATTTCCAGTCATAACCAAACTTCTAAAATAAAGACCCAAACTCTTCTAATATTAAACACTGAAATAAATGTGAGCTATACATACATTTAAGAAAGATGAAGAAACACAAGATAATTATTTTCCAACCTGCTATTCCAGTCTCGGGTGGCGAGTGGTAGGAGCCGATCTTGGCAGCTCTGGGTGTAAGGCTGCAACCCATCCTGGACAGAGTTGTGTGCACATGCAAACACACACACTCACACTCACTCAGGCTGAGACAGTTTAGACTTGCTGATGAACCTCACGTGCACATCTCTGGGATGTGGAAGGAAACCAGAATATCTGGAGGAAACCCATGTAGATGTGGGGAGAATGTGCAAACTCTACTCAGGAATCGATTCTTCCCTCCTCATCAATGCTATAATGAAAGGATATTAGAAAGAAATGATGTTATTTGAGGATTTGCTGTATTATGCAAACCAAGGTATCTTAAAATTCAAGCAATGAGTCGAAGTAACAAATACTGTTTTGTCAAAAAGGAACCCTTTATTAATCTATATATGTATAAAAAGCAAGCAAAATCAGAATGTTTTCCTCAGCCATCCTTTCCACATTTTATTCAGTTTTCGTGAACTATAAACCACCGATTTCTTCATGCCTAAAAGAGAAGAGAAGAAACAGTGAGAAAACTGAGGCTTCCTGAGTGGATACTCATCTATGGGTTTGATGATACTCAGACCAGAGACTTGTCTTTAGAGTGGAGCAGCGATGGGCTGACTGTGTCTAGGAGACCCTGGAAGCCAAGGGTTACAGATGTGATCAATGCGAGGGGAAAAGATTGTGATTTAGGATTAAAATGGTGGCATGATGTCAAAGTTACCTGAGTTTCTGGGGTAAGTGAAATCTTTTGAGATACAAGCACACTGACAGCCTTTGAATTTAGTAGTTCTTAAAAAGAAAGAAAAAGGAAGAACAAAGACAAGATCTGTATATAAATGGACATCCCTGGCCCCTTTCTAGATCCCAATCCTGCATCCAACCAACCCCACCTCCCTGTTTCTGTCACCGGGTGTACCACTGCCCAGAGTGCATGTTGTTTCTATCACTATCTGCTACATAGAGCTCAAATCCCCTTTCAGATTCCTTCTCTAGAAGTGTCTTGACTCCTCAGGCCAGTTCAGATATTGCTCCTCCTAGGCCAGGGGTGGGGAACCTTTATTCTACCAAGGGACATTTGGATATATAATTTATAACAATATTCACAAGCCATACACCGTTATCAACTTAAAAACTAGCCTGCTATATTTGGTCAAACCTTTACTTAACTCACCTAATGGCTTGATAGGCCCAGACCAAATGATTCTGTAGGCCTTTACACGGTCCATGGGCCAGATATTCCCCACCTCTATCCTACACCCACACCACCTTGCTGGTGTACAGCACAGCACTCACCCCACTGTTTACTGCTTAGGGACAGGTTTATTAACCTCTTCCTCGGTCTAGATTGGGAGTTCCTTGAAGACAAGGACCTTGTCCTATTCATCCTTGTCTGTCATCCCATCACCTAGTATAGTTTCCAGCACATAGTAGGTACTTGGTAAATGCTTTTGAAATGACAGAACAGATGCACCTCATTCAGATATCTGATCTCCCAACACCCTCTATCTACTTAATCACAAGTTCCAGATGAAACCAGAGAAGCTCTCTGGGGAGCTTATGGGAAAGAAGTAAAATGGGATAGAATAAGTGGGGTGTTATTTGTCTGTCAGATCTGATAGGATCTGCAGATAGTATTATGGACTCAACTTCCTTGGTGTTGAAAATGAGATAATTTAGTCCGTGTTTCAGGGTGTGGCTCAAAGACCCAACTAGTTTTTTTCACCAGGGGATACAAACTGTGGTCTGTGCTTCGAGTATGAAATGCCCACCCTTGGCGGTGCACTTTGTAAGCTCTGCTGATGAGGTAACAGGATTAGTTCTAGAGACTCCGAACACTTGGGTACGTGTGATCTCTTGAAAATACCTGGCCATGTTACTGGTAAACTGCGTAGTCCACCAAGGACCTTGTAAGAGGCTACTAAGGATAGTGGCAGGTTATAAGGCAAGGTCCCTGAAAAACCATTACAAATACTTATAGAAACTCTAGCCTGGCTTGCCCACTGACTGACTACTTGCAAACTGACACAGCCTCGTCAAGAAACTCAGCGCTCCTTCCCTGGTCTCCACCCCTATAATTTCTCCCTGGAGCAACCACTCTGGTAAACCTCGCCCATTTGAGCATTGAGACTGGAAAGCTATTACATAAGGTACTTTTTAAAATTCTAGCCAGAACCAATCAAGACATTAAGCAGAATACAGGTAGTTGCATATGATAAGGTTCAACACAGCAACCCCAGGGCACTGAGTCAGAGCTAGAGGAAGATGCATCGACTATGATAAGTCCCAGTTCAACTGCAAAAACTTACTCACAGACTCCTTGGAGCTTAACATTTAAAGTAAACACAAAAAGTACATCATAAACACCATGTAGCTTTTTTTTTTTTTTTTTTTTTTTTGCTAGTCCATAAAGCCTCCCTTAATTAAAACAGCCTCTGCCTTCAATGGCTCTCAGAAAGACTGCAGAAGGGAACAGCGTTACAAAGAGCACTGAAATAGCAGTCTGAATTCTAGATCTGGTTGGGCTACAAACTTACAGTGTTAACACCCCTTCTCTTGCCTTGACTGCATCATCTGCACAACGATTGGCTTAGACTAGGTTAGAGGTGTCTGACAAGGGGCCCCTGGACAGACTTCATCTCCCTGTGAACTTTTTGAAACTGTCACCGTTTACGGAGCACGTGTACTTCTGTGCGGAAGGTCTAAACTTTTAGCCAGATTTTTATAAAAAGTCAGGATTTGCAAAAGGGTAAGAACCAATAGATCAGTCCTTTCTGCCTCAATATTTTAATTGCAACGAAAGTGGAAGACTTACATTTCATGAACATAGAATAGACCAAGTTTCTTAAACATGACACAAAAAGTTGCTAACCATAAAGGACAAAATGGATAAATTTGAATAAGTAAAATTAAAGGCTCTGGCCAGGTAACTCAGTTGATTAGCTCATCATCCCAATATACTAAGATTGCAGGTTTGATCCCTGGTTGTAACACATACAGGAAGTAACCAGTAAATGCATAAATATGTGGAACAACAACTTGATGTTTCTCTCTAAAATAAAGTAAAAAAAAACAAAAGTAATTAAAAAAATGTAAAGAAAAAGACACATAATATCAAGTCTTTGCCCAGGAAGTGCTGCAATAGGAACTCTACTAGTGGGAGTATAATTTGAACAATTGTTTGGTCGATACCACAGTTAAACATTCACACACTTTATGATCTAGTAATTCTACCCCAGAGTTCGTACCTAACAGAAATGCATAAATATGTTCATCCAAAGATAGGCACAAAACCAGCAGCACTACTTGTAATAGCCCCAAACTGGACACAGCTCAAGAAGCCATCAACGGTAGAGTGAAGAAATTGTGTATATTCACACAATGATCTGGATACAATGAGAATAAATGAACTACTGCTCATCCCCACACCATGATGAATCTCACTGATGTTATGAGGAGTGGAAGACACAAGAGAATACATATTCATATATAAAGTTTGAAAATGGGCTAAACAGAAGGATGGCAATAGAAGTCAGGATAGTAGTTAAGTTACTCTTGGAGAAGTAGTGGCTGTGACTGGCAAAGGGGGTTTCTAGGACGGGCACTGTTTTATTTCTTCATCTGGGCACTATGTTCATGAGTGTGTTCACTTTGTGAAAATTAATTTATGATTTGTGCACTTTTCTGGATATATGGAGACTTTCCATACTACCAGAAGATCTAGAATCTGTCATTTATTCAGTCACTGTAATATACTGAATGAGTATTGTTTTGTGCATCTACATAAGACACTGAGTTGTTGGGGATACTGGTATGAATACCAGTTATGGTCTCTGTCCTCATAGAGTTTATGATCTATAGAATTCTACTTGGCCTACATTAGCTTACTTTTAGTTTCTGCTTCCTTTCTTTAAAAAAGGATGGTGATTTAGAAAGTCTGCATTTAGAAAGTGTCTTTACGGAAGACAGCCTCGTAGGAGAGAAATTTTACTCTAAGATCCATCACTATTGTCTTTGCTCCTTCTTCAATGTATAAAGATGCAACATTTCTTTAAATATATCTTCTTCAGGCAGATACTTATTTACCTAAAGCTAGCCATTATGAATTCTGATTAGTATCTAAAGTCAGGATTTTATTTTGGAAGGATACAGAAATCTACTTCAATATATGGCTCTTAAGGTTTTCCTTCTGTTGATTTCCAGCTTGTGTTACATGACCTATAGCAAAGTTACTACAAATGTAAGACTACAAACTGCCTATGTGACCTTGAACTGATGGGTCTAATGACACAAAATTCTCTAGGAAACAATATGAAGCAGAGATATGAGTAGGTTGTGAGGTGTCTCTACCCTCCCATAATTCTATACTTCAGATCTTTAGGAGAGAAAATCACTAAGCCCTCAACATTCTTCCAAGTAATTTCCAATATAGTTAGAAATACATCTACAAAGAATATCTCTCCTGAAGCAGAAAATACAACTTATTTTTAAAATTTTCAAGTTTAAATGATAAGCACGTTATCAGAATTTTTTTTAAACTATTATTATGTATTCTTCTTTTAAAAAAAATATATATATTTTATTGATTTTTATACAGAGAGGAAGGGAGAGAGATAGTTAGAAACATCGATGAGAGAGAGAGTCATTGATCAGCTGCCTCTTGCACACCCCCTACTGGCGATATGCCTGCAACCAAGGTACATGCCCTTGACCGGAATCGAACCCGGGACCCTTCAGTCCCCAAGCGGACGCTCTATCCATTGAGCCAAACCAGTCCTGGCATATTATGTATTCTTATTTAAATATGTAGGTACAAAAAAAAAAAATGGAATAAATGTTTTAGTTATAAGAAATCGGAAACAGAGAACAACCAATGATCCATTTTATTGTGTTCCAGGAAAGGGCTGGTTAGAATCAATTGAGGCATGCCAGAATCTTTTTAAGAACAAAACTAAACCTGTCTTGTCAATTCAGCTGAATCTTTTGAAGCTAAGGAAATACATAGGTGCCTGTCCCCAGAGTAAATTCTGATAGACCAGAAAGTCAGGTGAGAAAAAATAAAGCAAGATTTCAAAGATTAAACGTCAATATTCCCTCCCAACCTTCCTCACCTCCTAAAATGGCACCACCGCCCTAGCTGGTTTGGCTCTGTGGACAGAGCATCAACCTGTGGACTGAAGGGTCCTGGGTTCAATTCTGATCAAGGGCACATGCCAAGATTATGGCTCAAACCCCAGTGGGGGGCATGCAGGAGGCAGCCTACCAATGATAATACTCTCATCACTGATGTTTCTCTCTCTCTGAAATCAACATAATTAATTAATTAATTAATTAAAATGGCACCACCCTCTTACTGTTTCCCACACCCAAAACCTGGGAGTTAAATGCGACTCCTTTCTCTCCTTCCCTTTCCATGTCCCTCCAATCACCAAGACCTAGCAACCTGCCTTCTAAATATTGCTGGCATCTCATCTCTGCCTCTACTGCAATGACTTGAGTTCAGGCTGCCACGATTCCTCACCTGGCTGGCTGCAACCATATCTAACCAGTTTCCCAAGCAATAGCTTTATCTCCCTTCAATCTGTTCTCAGTTCTCTCATGGCCTTTCTGTAGTCCCTCTGCCCTCAAAAGAAACTCTGAATTCCCTTTCATGGCCTTCAAGGGCTTCCCTTGTCTGGCTCCTGCTTACTTCTCAGTCTAATCTCTAAATCCCACACCCCCTCCCCATTTCTCTTCTAGTTCCCACACCAGAACACTCAGGCAGTTCCACTTCTCTCCAAACAGATTAGAAACATAAAAGACTGCTACTGCTCAGAATATGACAGTGTGCTTAGCTGGTCTTCTGTTACTAGTACGAAATGAGATGTCATCTGCTGCTACTATGAAAGGAGTGAGCAAGTATTATATTAGGAGGCTAACCAGTCTTTTGCTACTCCTGAGCTGGCTGGCTCCAGCTGCTGGCCTGCCAGGGTTGCAGGCTTAGTCCCAGGTAGGTGGCATGCAGGAGGCAGTCAAATGCTATTTCTCTCTCGCAGAGATGTTTCTCTCTCTTTCTCTCTCTTTCTCTCTCTCTCTCTTTCTCTCTCTCTCTCTCAAATCAATTAAAAAAATTTTTTTAAGTTTGATGAAAAAAAATAAAGGTATCTGCCTTTGAACCTTCCTTTTTTGTTCCCATATGAGCAGGATGATGCAAAGAAGCAGAGTGATAATGGCAACAAAGGAACAAAATCTCAACCAAATACACTGGGATTTTCTCACCCTGCAGATCATACATCAGCCGTCTGAAAACTGAACAGAGACAGAACTTTAGAGATTTAGGGGAGGCAGCCCTAGCAAAAGCAAGGCAGAACAGCAGCAACAAGAGGACTTCTAAAGAACAAAGTGCAGAGGGGAGGTTCTGAGGCTTGCTGTGAAGTTAGAAGGAAAAGAAACAGGCAGATCGGCCACTCAGTTCTTTACTCCAGCTGGAGGCCTGGTCAAGGGGCTAATGCTATTTGAATATGACAGTGAAAAGAGCCATGTTCTAAAGAGAGGTCAGGAAACGTTTAAGTAATGATACCAAAAGAAAAAGAAAAAACTAGGCACAGTACTAAGTGTTTTTACACATTTAAGATATAATTTTTATAACCTGGCAAGGCAGGTATAATTATCCCCATGAAATTAAAACTCAGAAAAATTAGGTAATTTGCCTAAGTCACAGTAGTTAGGTTGGAATTTGAACCCTAGTCTCAGGGACTCACAAATCCCTGCTCTTGGCCTGGACCGCCTTCATCAGCCCACAACCATCATAAACCAGATAAGCCCGATCATAAGGTAAGTAAACCAATAGACTCTGAATGGATGCTCATCACTCTCCACAATTTCTGCAACCTCAGTGCAGGTTATAGACATTCTGACTTTCTGGACTTCGTCAATCCTCTGAGGCATCTTTAGAAGGAAAAGGGAAGCAAAGCATTAAGCAGGCAGGGAGAACCAGCTATGGGTGCTCACTCCAAGGCCACAAGGAAATCTGGGCTGTTGTGAGGTGCTATCCACTGCCCTCTGCTGGTCACTGGAAAGAATGAGTGGGAGGAGGGCCAGAGAGTCATTTCAGTTTGAAGTATCATGATTCATGTTTAAAAAACCTTTTCTTAGAGAAAAATTCAAGCTTACGAAAGAATAGTACACTATGTCTCCATGTATCTTCATCCGGCTTCAAAAACGTATCAAGTCATGACCAATCCTGTGTCATCTACTGTTTCCCTACTTCCCTCCACTGTTTTATTTTGAAGCAAATCTCAGACATCCTGTCTTTTCATCTAAATTTTTAGCATGTATTTCTACAAGAAAAGGAATTTTTTTAAAACCCCATCATACAACAACAGATAATCAATAATGTAGTAATTCCGTATAGCACAGGAAACCTCCCTAAAAAAGGAAAATGAATGAAACCTCTCAAAACATTCGGCCTCACCCATTGAGGATTATAGAAAGGGAGTTGCAATCAAGTAAAACACAGAACCATCAAACAAACAAATGTACCTCAGCTTGCTTGGATAAGCACAGCAGAAACACAGATTAAATAAGTAACTTAATTGAAAATGCAAAGCCATGTACCCCTGAGTGGCAGAAATATCTTCAGCTGAGTAGGTTTGGCACACATACTCTTTCCTAACTCTGAATGGATCTTTCCCAAGACACAGGAGGGCCAGGCAGTGTCCTTGGGGCCGAACACTGCGCTGTGTATCCAGGAGGCTGGGGTGAGACGCTGAGATGTGTGACACCAGCTCCCTGGCAATCTCAATCCAGGGGTCAGAATCAGGCTGAAAGACCACTCCCGTCTTTGTGTTTCCTCTGAGCCATTTAGGCCCTGGTACTATTGCAGATTTCTACTTACATGCCTGTCTCTTTTTCTAGACTATGAACTTCTTGAAGGCAGGAGAGTGTTTTGTGTTCACTTTTTTTTTTTTTTTTTTAATTCTCATCCAAGGATATTTTTCCCACTGATTTTCAGAGAGAGTGGAAAAGAGGGAGGGCAGGGGGAGGAGAAAGAGAAATATTGACTTAAGAGAGAAACATTGACTGGTTGTCTCCCACACATATCCCGACTGGGGCCCGGGATTGAACCTGAGACTGGTTAGGTCGAGGCCCTAACCACTGAGCGCACAGGTCAGGGCTCATGTTCACTTTATATGTGTGGCTAACATATAAGAGATGTTCAGTGGATGGTTACGTAAGAAAGAATTAATTAGAAAAGTCCATATTTTGACATTACCAAATATTGGGAAATTAGGGGAAAAACAAGAATTCTCATATTTTACTAGTGGAATTGATATAACTACTTGGGAGGGCAATTTGGTTATATCCAAAGAGGTTCAAATGCTTAAGCCCATAAATCAAGGACAGGATGTTTAAAAAAAAATTTTATTTTTAAAAGAAGATTCAGTTGGGGAGAAAAAGAAAAGAAAAAGAGCTCATAGAAAATAAAAATGTAACAGCAGAAATAAAATAACTCAATAGAAGGGTTGGAAGCTAAAGCCGAGAAAAATCTCCCAGAAAACAAGACAAAAGGACAAAGAGACCAACCTTAGGAGAAAAAAAGAAAGAAAACCAAAGAACTAGACGAGGAGGTCCAATATTTGAATAAAAGGAGTTTCAGAAAGGGAAGAGAGAAAACAGATGGGAAAAAAATAAAAAAATTAAAAAAAGAAAAATGTTTTATATCCTGAGTGAACAAACTGAAAAATGAGTATCGTAACAGATTAAGACAAACTCACTTCAAAGCACGTGAGAGCCCTGCAGGAAAATGAAGACCCAACAGGCCTCCAGAAAGAACATACACAAAGGACTAATAATCCAAACAGCTTTGGAATTCAACAGTAATCTTAGAAGTGAGAAGATAGTTGGAGCAATGGTATCAAAATTCTAAAGAAAAAAATCATTCCCAATCTACCCCCAGGCTCAGTCTCCATTTCTGTGGGAGGGTGGCCTAGAGATTCGTTTAGACACACATGGTCTCCAAGTTGGCCTCCCAGGCGTCCTTTCTCAGAAAGTTACTGCATGGGGTGCTTCACCAAAACGAGAGTGTGCATCATGCAGATAAAAGACGGAGATACAGGAAAGAATGTCTTCCTCACAGGAAACATAAAGACAATCTGTGGGCAAAGAAAGTTGTGCAGAGAAGGAAAAGCGTTTCATGTGGCTCCCCTAGGAGTCTCATTAACGCGGTCAGACAGTGTAAACTCCGCACACTGCCTTTCCACAGCTGCATTATCATCTGCATTAGAGGGATGGGAGGGAGGGGCGAGTGTGTGGGGGGAGGTTGGGGAGAGAGATGAATTCTAACCTTCCTTAGTGAGAAGTCAAAAGAAGTAATATAAGGTTATTATTTGGAGAAAACAAAAATACCCCCACTAAGAGACGTGAAAGGGGTTGTCTGGAGAGGGGATGCGGTGGAGAAGAGCACAGCGCAGCTGTTTCTGCAGGATACGCATGTGTAACTTTATAACAAGAACGTGAGGGGAAGCCCGCACACAGGAGTTACACAGAAACCTTCGAGGGCAGTAAAGCCTTCCAACATACCTCATATGGTTTGGTTTTCTTAGACCAACAGGTTACAGTGCTGCCTGCCTGTCTGTACATTATTGCAAATGTCCTGGTTTATGACCATTAGAATTCCAGCATTTCCCTTTATAAACTGATGAACCAAGAGACAGAGATAGAGGAAGTAAAGCAACAGGCAGACTGTCAAATTACAGCGGGGAGGGGAGGAAGATCTGGGGGAGATAATAGATCAACCGAAGGACTTGTATACATGCATACAAGTACAACCAATAAAACTCTGGGGAGGGAGGGGATGTGTGGGAGGGAGGCAGGAGGGTAAAAAAAAAATCAATAAAATATGTAAAAAAAAAAAAAAAAAAAAAGAATTCCAGCATTTCACAAGCACCGTCAGGACGCAGACAAAGCTTTACAGCTTAACCAGGGGCGGGTTTTCCAAGTTCTTACCGGCAGTGAAAATGCCTTTGGTGCTCTGTCTCAGGCTCGAAGCTCTCACAATTGCTGAAAGCCCTGTGAGGAAAATCCAACAAGGATGCCAAAAAGCCAGATGTTAGTCATCTCAGCACTTTTAAAAAACTAAAACTAAATATTCTTTCAGTTAGCCAATAAAACAGGTCACTCTATCTGTTCTGGAGTCACAGAATGACAGTGAAAAGGGTACCCGGATTGAAGTTGCCAGCATGTCACCATCCACCTACATGAACACAGGCAAACGACTGACCGCTCTGGGCCTGGCCTCCTCACCTTCAACGGGGTGGGTTAGGTGACCTTCAATGGTCATTTTATGACTTTAAGTCTACATAAGGCTGCTGGTTCTCAATTCACACACACACACACACACACACACACACACACACACACACACACACACACACTCACACTCACCCAGGAATAAAACTTCCATTCTGAAAACACACAAGGGGACTCCTCAGTGAGGATCAATAGTAGAGTCCCCCAAGCCCTATGAAAGGCAGCAGAGATCACACCGTGACCAGATTCATGGTAAAATAAAAAACAACAAACAAAGGACATGCCTCTGTACTATCTTCAGAACAGGTATCTGGTGACCTAAACATCTGCTCTGACAACCTGGGGCAGGTCCCAGAGAGTGTGCGTGGAGCCCGCCTATTGCAGCTAATGTTCAATGCTGTCACTGTGATTATTTAGCACAGTGGCTTGCACCTTAGAGGGTTAAGTAGTCAAGGAAATAGGAGAATGCACTCATCTGAGGGAGGGAGTCATTTTATTTTTTTAAAACACATTTTTATTGATTTCAGAAAGGAAGGGAGAGGGAGTAAGAGACAGAAACATCAATGATGAGAGAGAATCATTAATCCCCTGCCTCCTGCACACCCCAACTGGGGATCGAGCCCACAACCTGAGCATGTGTCCTGACCAGGAATTGAACCATGACCTCCTGGTTCATAGGTCAATGCTCAATCACTGAGCCATGCTGGCCGGGCAGGGAGGGAGTCATTTTCAATTTCACAATTAATTCTTTACTGACTGTCCTCATAAAACATCTTTAACACCTCAAAGGGAAGTGGGTCTCTGAAAACAAGATTCAGATTTTTTGGTAAATATAATATTAGGGAAACCCTGGGGCTAATGCCCAGAACATAGCCTATGTCAGAGGGTACCTGCTGAACACAGTGTACGAGATACACTGAATGGGAACTGGTTGATGAAAGCTGTGTTTATAAAGTCATCTGATAAAATTCGAGTTCTTGGTATTAAAGCAATAAAAATGTCATCAGTCTCCTGCCTTCTCAGACCACCAGGAAGAACAGAGACTTGTCTCTGAAATAACTGCTAAAAGTTATGCTTTTGGGACCAAAAGAAACATTGTTTGCCCCCTCACACAGTGATTTAGGACCCAGGGATTGGGACCCAGAAATACTTTTATGCCTACTTCAAACAGATGAGCATTTAAATTTGGAAACCCCCAGACTGTTAGTGCTTCTTCTCCCTAGAAGCAATCTATCCCTTGATCTCACCAGGTAAGAAAGAATAAAGAATACATCACTGTCACAAAGCTTGCTTCTACCCCATGGCCAGCACCCCCTCAGTCAAATCCGTAAACATACCTAGCCGCACGACGTCTCCGCAGTCAGGGTCATGAGCAAGTTTGAAAAGAGTTTCTTCCACATCTCTGTTTTTTCCAGGAGGATCCATAATATTATGTATTCCTTGCTGTAAGGTTTTCGGCAATGCCAACAGCTGAGTGAACTGTCCTTCTGGGCTTTTATCTATCTAAGGAATTAAAAAAAAAAAAAAAAAAAAGATGTTGATGGAAAGTTCTTTGAATTCTATAAATATTCAAAGGTCCATGGTTTCTCTTTATTTTATTTTTTAAATCCTCACTTGAGGATATGTTTAGAGGAAGGAAGGGAGAGACAGAAACATGGATATGAGAGAGAAACATCCATCGGTTGCCTACCATGCATGCTCAACCAGGGATCGAACCCGCAACATAGTGATGTGCCCTGACCAGGAATCAAACGCACCTTTCGGTGCCTGGGACAACACTCTAGCTGACTGACCACCCGCCAGGGTCACACAAACATATATGAATCCATATGCTAAACTAGACAGCATACTAAGGAGACAGTCTCCTTTCTTTAACTAAATGCCTAAGTGCTCAGGATTCTAAATTCCTTTATAAAAGTTCATATAATGTTCCATTTTTACAGAGATAAGAAATGCCTCTTTAAAGGATTGATTTCTGATTCTCAGTTTTAAAGTTTCTATTTGTCTTAAATCTAATACTTAAAGGAAGTAAGGCTGTAGCTCACAATCATTAAGGCCCCAGCAAAACCAGCCACTGAAATTACTTCTTCCACTTATTTTTTAATATATATTTTTATTGGTTTCTGAGAAGAAGAAGAAGAGAGATATATTTATAGAAACATCAATGATGAGAGGGAATCAATGACTGGCTGCCTCCTGCATGCCGCCCCCTGGGGATCAAACCTGCAACCCAGGCATATGCCCTTGACTGGAATCAAACCTGGGACCCTTCAGTCTACAGGCCTACGCCCTATCCACTGAGCCAAACCAGCTAAGGGCCATTTCTTCCAATTTAAACACAAGAACATAAGAGTAACATAGCCAGGATCATAGAGCCAATAAGAGAGAGTAGGATTTAAATCTTGTCTCCTGCCTTTAGAGTCTCTTATATACCATGATGTATTTCATAAACTGTTTGAATAAAGTTAAAGTTAAAAACAAAAAAGCCTCAATTTGAAGCAAACATGGCAAATTCTGCTCAATGGAGTGGTGGATATTCTGGGCATTTCATGAAACTATTGTTTCCTTGTGTTTAAAATAATCCTGTGGGTTTGTGTGTTTTTTTAAAATCAAATTTCCTTTCTGTTATAAAAATTCCACTCATTTTTTAGCCAATACTAGAGGCCTGGTGTGCGAAATTCATGCATGGGTAGGGTCCCTCGGCCTGGCCAGGGATCAGTGTGGATCAGGGCCTTTGGGCTACTGGCCAAGCCTCCCTTCATCCCATGCCACAGGTGGTCAGCACATGTCATAGCGAGCAATCAAACTCCCAGTCTCTGGGTCAATCTGCATATTAGGCTTTTATATTTAAGATGAGCTGCCCCTATTATTTGGAAGATGAGCATAAAAAGGTAAAATAGAGTGTTCTTTATGCTAAAGTTTTTTAAAATTTGAGGTTTCTATAATTTAAAAAAATCTGAAATCCAATTTTCTTCAGAGAAAAAAGTTCTTTGATATTTATTTTCAAATACTTAACATTATTTTAAAAATAGCTTGAAATAAGTTTCATTTAATATATCAACAGGACAAGACATAATTAATAAAACAAATAAGGGATTAAAAAGAAGCTTTAGAATAATATGCCCGAGTCCATTTATGTAAAATAAAACAAAACACACAAAAAAGATCAAATCCCTGGCTGCCTCCTGCATGCCGCCCCCTGGGGATCAAATCTGTGTATGGGTACAAACAGGTATAAAAATGAATGCAAAAAGGATCTGGAAGAATAAATACCAAACTGTCAGGAAGGTTACCTCGTGGAGGTAAATAAGGTTGGGGACAGAAAAAAGGTAATCTGAGTTTATTCTTACTTGTTTTTTACTGATAATTAATATGCATAGTAAGGATTTCAAATGGCAAGAGAGAGATATATGGCGAAGAGAAGCCACTCTCCCCCCACGTTAGCCCTGGTTCCCTTCTTATTATGTCTCTTTTGCTACCTTTTTCAGCATTATTCCAAATATACAGAAGAACATGTTTATATATAAAACTTACTTTTAAAAATATGATTTTACACCAGTTATACTGTTCTAACCCTTACTTTCTCCCTTAAGTAGATCTTTGCCTTAGAAACAGTAGGAGTTATTTTCCACAGTTACCTCCAGTATGCTTTGCTGGGTTTCATACACCACTTGTGGATTATCCTTTAGTATGTGGCCATACAGCTCACGAAAGTGGGCTACGTTGGGCTTTACAATATCCATCACTTTTGTCTTATTCTCTCCAACTACCATCCGAAGGTCGCCTGGTTAAAACAAACGGAAAAACAGATTTCCCACTGATGATCCACAACCTGACCTATGAGTTACAGCCATAGGTGACCCACTGTGACCTTGCACTAGTTCAAGATGGCAGCATCCCTCATTCACAACATTTCCTTTTCCTCCTTAAAACCCGAGGAATGCAGGCACTTGTTTGAGGAAAAAGAAAGCCTTTCAAATCATAAAGTCCTCTATGATAGTTAAAGTACAGTTACCTAAGTACAAAAGGTAATCATCATGGAGAAGCTAATTTGTTTTTGTTTTTCCAACGCAGAAGCTTCTGCACTTACAAACATCCATCTTGTGAACAAAACTCCGCCTGTGACTAAGCTCGGAGATGAGGTTGTGTGTCTCGCCTGAGATATGTCTTTGACACTGCCCACTCAGTTTGGACCTGTTCCTTGTGGGCTTTAAAGGTGCTTTATGACTATACACATCTTATTATATTTGATAAAGGCAAGAGCAGCGAGTGTTAAAAGTCCTACTATTTTGTTTACAGATGAATCTGATAGCAAATATAATTTTTAAAAATTTATTTTGAAAATTATTATTTTGTTAATTCTCACCTCACCTGAGGATATTTTTTCCCACCTATTTTAGAAAGAGTGAAAGGAAGAGGAACAGAGAGAGACAGAGAGAGAAAAAAATCAATCGGTTGCCTCCCCTATGTGCCCTGACAGTGGAATGAACCTGCAACCTACGTATGTGACCTGACCAGGAATCGAACCTGTAACCTTTTGGTGTACAGACGTCACTCCAACCAACTAAGCCATCTGACCAAGGCAAATTTTAAAATTTTAAGTAGAGAAAAATGAGAAAAGATACAGTTGCCAGTGGAATGAATTAAGCTGTAAAATAAATAATTCTGAAGGACAAAGAGAAAAATTTTAAACAAATTTAAAGTGCCCTGTCCTGTCTATGCCATTGACAATTATTATCAGCAAGATATGAGGGGAGGGAGGAGTGATAAAATGGGAAAACTTGAGTGAATGCCTATTGGGCTAATGTTAATTGAAGGCTGGGCACATATGAGGCTCTCCCCGATGAAGCTTGGTGAAAGCAATATGGCTGAAACCTATGTTGGGCAGACAGAAAGTTGTCTAGGGGAGTAACGAGGTAGCAAGTGCAGGCAGATACTCCAGCTGCTAAAGAATCCCTGGGGAAGAGGTGACAATTTATCATCCAAACCAGGTCACTTTTGAGGGTGAAGGGGTCATTATGAATAATTCCACTGGGACAAGTACAAGCTGGCCAAACCAGGACAAGCAACTCTTGTCGATTGCTTTTTGGGAATGGGGAGCAGGGAGAGGTCATCACAATCATTATATGCCACAACACTTTTGTCTTATTCTTCAGTATATAACAGTACATACTTCAGTGAAAAATAATAACACATGCCTGGTTTTTAAGATCAACCTATGCTACAATTTGGTGGAAAGCAGCTGGGGACTGATCGCTCAGGAAAACATACAAATAGCCTCTGGAACCCCACCTCTGTGACATGGGGTCTGACTCTTCGGGGCAATGAGCAGAAGTGAGTTCTGGTAATAACTAGAGAAACTTGTTTTTTCACTATTATTTTAAAGGGAAAGAGAGGTAAGTAGTCAAACCTGGGATGACTGCTGCTGGCATCATAAATGGTTAAAACCCATCTCTGGAGAGTGAGCCTAAAGAAATAAACCCAGCCGAAACCGGTTTGGCTCAGTGGTAGAGCGTCTGTCTGCGGACTGAGGGGTCCCAGGTTCGATTCTGGTCAAGGGCATGTACCTCAGTTGCGCGCACATCCCCAGTGGGGGGTGTGCAGGAGGCAGCTGGTCGATGTTTCTCTCTCATCGACGTTTCTAGCTCTCTATATCTCTCCCTTCCTCTCTGTAAAAAATCAATAAAATATATTTTTTAAAAAAAAGGAAATAAACCCAAACAGAGGTTAAGAGGTAAAGTTTAACGAGCATCTGGTGAGTGCCAGGCACTGTTCCAAGTGCTTTGCTGTATCACCTCACTTAACCCACACAGCTATCCCCTCAGATAGATACTAATCTAACCCCGTTTAGCATCAAGGCAACAAAGACACAGAGATGAAATAAACTGCCTAAGATTTCCCAGGAGCTAAGTGAATAACATACATACAACTGTCAGCACTATTTATAATAATCAAGTACTGAAAGCAACCGGAATGTCCAACAACAGGAGAGCGGATAAGCTATGATAATACACTCACATATCCTAACACAGAAGAGTCTACAACTATTAAAAATCACAGTAATTAGTCCTGGCTGGTGTTTCTCAATGGATAGAGCACAAGCCTGCAGGCTGAAGGGTTGTGGGTTTGATTCCCAGTAAAGGGCATATATATACCTGGGTTGCGTGAGGGTTTGTTCGCGGGGCCTGGGAGTGGGCTGTTGGCGTGGATGCAATAGGCGATAGATCAGTGTGACTATTTCACATTGATATTTCTCTTTCTCTGCCCCCTTCCTTTCCTCCCTTCCACTCTCTCTAAAAAAATCAATGGAAAACATATTATCGGGTAAAAATCACACAGAGCAAGATGAAAAATGATCACACATATATATATGTGTATATATATATATATATATATATATATATATATATGATCATTTTATATATATAAAGGATACAAAAGTACAAGGAAACAACTGTAAAAAAAAATAAGACAAAAGGACTATATAAAAAATGATTATTTTTGCTCAAATGAGATACACATTTATTGTGGGCTTTTGTGAATGTGTGTGCTTTACATATGCTATTTAGTTTAATTATCCCCAATTTTACAGATGAGGAAACTGAGGTGCAAGATCCAGCCACCTTTGAGTTTCAGGATAGTGACATTTGAGATGACTGGTTTTACTCTACTTTGTAATTTCCCTCCACTGCTCTAACTTCTGTAATGTTGGCATATATTTCTAGCATTTTAAAATAAATTCACAGGATGTATAGAGATGATGACCTGGCAAATGTAAGTGAGAGGAAGCTGGATTTCAATTGCGTAAACCTCATGCTTTTATTTAGAGTCTACAAATAGATTCTATTGATCTGCAAGGGAATAAAATGTCATCAAACTCTGAATCTAACATGACTATCATTGTTGAGTTCTAAACATTTGGGTCATTTTTCTTTCTGTACCCTCAACCAACAAAAAATTCTTATACTCTAGATAGCATTTTACCAAAATGTAAAAGCAATCTAATCCAAATCCTCCCAAAAGAATAATTGCATGCTATGATGAAAAGACCTGGAAGATACTATGGACCCTCTGAGAATAAAGACTGGAGCTTACTCATCTCTGTCTCCACAGCTCCTTGCGTACTGCCTGGCACATTAAGGGCACATCAATATCTACGGAACAGAACTTCTCCTACTGCCGTGCAGCAGAACTAGCTCAGCCACAGGAAACAGCAAGCAAATGGGCTTATTACTCATTGCTTCAGAACAAAGTAAATAAAACCACGGGCACAGCATGAACCCACATCTGATCATAAGAATCAATTTTTCTAACCACCAGAAATGTTTGCAACAAAACAGAGAAATGAAGAAAAACTACTGACTTTTATTTTATGCCGCTGTTGATGGGCTTAACTCTTGACTGCTCAAGCCAATCTAATAAAATGGTAACCAAAAGGATAATTTCTCTTTGAATCTGAAATGAGGCTTGCAAACCATCTGTAGTTGGCCGGCCAGCAGTGGTCAGGGTCCTTATTATGAATGTAGGGATGTGAAAGGCTGTGAAATAGAGTGGAAAGGCCCTGGCTTTCAGGCCTGGCAATGTCCCATGGTGACTGGAGATTAACTTTTCTGAGTGAGTTTCCTTCTGTGTGAAACAATCATACTGACCTCACAATGTTGCTTTTAGATTTAAATAAGTTCATGCATTTGAGAATGCTTTATAAATAGTAAAGCAGATATCATATATATACACACATATATACACATACTAGTTCATATATATGTATATACTGTATATGATGGGAAAAGAATAGGGGGTAGATGAGGCTTAATCTTTGAAGATAATGACTGGCTTTTTCCCCTCTTAAACTAACTGCTATACTGCTGTCATTTCAGTTCAATAAATATTTGGTAGCTACTAAGCATGAGGAGCTGTGCATACATTTAGGAATGTAAAGTATATGCCCTATCTAAGGCAGCAAATGACATGAAAACTCATCTTCAGTGCAGGTTACAGAAGTGGGTATTTCTTTGGTGTAGTGTTTAAGAATAGCAGCTCAAACTGTAGGTTGATATGGCAAAATATGATTCATTTTTGATAGCTTTTTTTGAGATATAATTTACACCCTACATAATTCACCCATGCAAAGTATACAATTCAATGTTTTTTAATATACTTATAGAGTTATACAACTATCTAATTTTAGGAAATTCTGGCTTCCCTGAAAGAAATTGTATCCATTGGCAGTCACTCTCCACCTCCTTCCAACCCCAGCCCTACACAAAGGTAATCTACTTTCTCTCTCTATAGACTTGATTCTGGACATTTTAGATAAATGAAACTGCACAATATATGGTCTCTTATGACTTAGTATTTGTTTTCAAAGTTCATCATGGAAGAAACCAAGATGGCGGCATAGGGTAGACACCCGAAAGCAGCCTATCACAACAAATTTGAATTTAGAACTGGAAAACAGGGGAGGCATTGCCCTGAAGCACCGGACAGCTAGCTGAGAGGAGGCTCTGCCATCTGGGAAGGAGAGAGAAGGCACACTGAATCTCAGGAACCGTGAAGATACTGAGAACTGTGCGTGCAAAAAGGCGCTGGCTTACTCCTGGCCTGCAGAGAGGGAGGGCCGGACAGAGATTGCTGCTGGCTTACTCATGGTGCACGGAGAGGGTGGATCCAGCTGAGTTCGCTACTGGCTTACTCCGGGCGTGGAGAGGGCAGACAGCTAATGCGAGGCTGGCTTTCTTGTTCGAGAGGAAAACAGAATCACCCTATTGCTCTAATAGACGGCCC